CTTAAGGAAATGTTCATCAGAAAAATGCAATCAAAACAACTCTGAGATTCCATCTTACACCTGAAAGAATGCCAAGATCAAAAACACTGATGACCACTTATGTTGGAGAGATTGTGGGGAAAAGGGAACACTTCGGCATTGCTGGTGAGAATGCAAGCTGGTAAAATTCCTTTGGATGTCAGTGTGGCGATTTCTCAGAAAATTAGGAAACAACCTTTCTCAAAACTCAGCAATACCACTTTTGGGTATATATCCAAAGTATGCTCAATCGTGCCACAAGGACATGTGTTCAACTATGTTCATAGCAGCTTTGTTTGTCATAGCCAGAACCTAAATATCCCTTGACTGAAGAATGGATAAGGAAAATGTGGTACATTTACACAATGGAGTACTACACAGCAGAAAAAAATAATGACATCTTGAATTTTGCAGGAAAATGGATGGAGCTAGAAAACATTATTTTGAGTGAGATAACCCAGACACAGAAAGACAATTATCACATGTATTCATGGGTGGCTTTTAAACATAAAGCAAAGAAAGCCAGCCTACAAACCACAATTCCAGAGAATTTAGACAACAATGAGGACACTAAGAGAGACTTTCATAGATATAATCTACATGGGAAGTAGAAAGTAAAAAAGACAAGATCTCCTGAGTAAATTGGGAGCATGGGGACCTTGAAGAAGGGCTGAAGAGGGGAGGGGAGAGGCAGGGAGGTAAGCAGAGAAAAATGTAGAGCTCAATAAATATCAATTAAAAAGAGTTAATACAAAGCCTGAGCTAATAGGTCAATCAGTTTATAATTAATGTAGGCCTCTGTGTATTTCCTTGGAACTGAACAACTACAGGGCCAGGCGGGACAAAAACTTCTGTCAACAGATCTCTACTTAGTACCTGTAAGAAAAGCTGCATTTCTTAAGGAATTCTCTCATGATATCTTACAGAGCATGTAAAAGTTTGTCTCCTGTTGTTATAACAAGTTGGGCAAATCTGGGTATTTCATAAAGAAAAGACGTTTCTTTAGTGCACAGTTTTAGAGCCTGCAAGTCCAGGATCGGATAGCCATGCTTGTTTGGCTTTTAGTGGGGCTGATGAGCCAGATTACATGGTGTCAGCATTGTCGTGCAGGTCATATGGAGGGAAAGATGGCATGGTGAGATAGTAGGCAATGTAAGTAAGTAAGTAGGAGAAGACCTGTCTGAGTATTTTTATGACAACTCACATTCATGACAACTCATCACATGACACCAGCATTGACGTTCTCTAAGAGTCACACCGTCAGTGTGTGACCACCTCTTGTAAGCCCTACCTGTTAAGAAGGTCCTGTCACCTCTTACATGTTCACACTGAGGAACACATTTCCAGCCCTCATATCTAAGCCTCACCCAAACCATAGAAACACGGTTGTAGATGTGTTGACAGAGGTTTCTGTACCACCTGGTCCCACAGGCATTCAGTCCCCAAGATAACTAAGTCTTACATCTTACATTAACCCATAATTCTTATCTGTGTTAGCCACGTGGCTTGGTACCTTTTATCAATGAGGCATTCTCATCTTGTGTCCTGAGTCTGGGTGACGACTACAGACTGAGCCTTTCCTCTTCCCAGAATTCTCCTGTTCTGGCCTCTCTGCCTATACTTCCTGCCTGGGCTACTTACTAATCAGCATTTCGTTAAACCAGTACATGTGACAAATCTTTACAGGGTACAAGACCATTGTCCCACAGCATAGATGCACTATTTTTACTGACAGTTTTATCATCTTGAGATTTTGTGGGTAGGGGATGTTGATACAGCTTTAATGTTATATTTTAGATAGCTGACTGATTTTTTTAAAATAATTTTACATCTATGTTCCATCTTTGCCTTTGCTAAATCAAAGACAAGCCTTTTTATATGGAAGTTCTAGAATCATGAAAAGAACTATCTAGGAGAGAGAGAGAGAGAGAGAGAGAGAGAGAGAGAGAGAGAGAGAGAGAAGAATTCGGGAATAAAATCTCTGAGATGGTGTGAGAACACAGAATGAGGAATATTAACCAGTATTAAAAGCTAATATCTGCTAGGGGTATATCAGGTACCAGTATTCTAGGTGTGAGACAGGAATGAAATAATTCCATCCTCCGAAAGGAATCCTTCCCTGCTCCAGACAGCACCTGTATAGGAAACACTGAAAGCACAGGCTGTGCTTCAGCTAACTGGTTCTAGTCAGCTGAAAGCAGAAACAGTTAGTGCCAAGTAGATCTGTGTGGTAACTGGACACTCACTGAACTATGTGAAGATTCTTTCTTGTCTAGTGGGACATGTCTGTGGACCTGCTTGCCCTCCCCTAAAACCTTATACTTTCTTAGCACGCTCACAGAGACCCACCCCATACCTCTTTACTACACATAGAACTCCAGGAACTTTCCTTCCCAAGAATCTTTTTCATCCACTTCCTCTAGTAATTGCTGTAATGGCCACTGGCTTTCTTTTACCCTCTCATGGCAACTCAGTACTTAGGTTCTGAACTTCCTCTCATCTTAGTCTTGAAACTGAAACTCAGACCTGCCTTCTCAAGTTAAGCTGCTATCTAAGTCCACACTCTGAATTAGAATTTGGTGTCAAACTGGTAGGAAGTCGTTGATGTCTGCTGTGACTTAAATGCGTGTTCAAATGCATGTGCAGAGACCTAGTCCCAAGTACAACAGAGCTGGAAGCTGGAACCTTGGGAAACGTAGTGACGCTACAGGCTCAAGTTTGTGGATTGTGAAAGAGTCCGACAGAGAAAGGGTTGTCTTCTTGCTCCTCCACCTTCTGCCAAGTGAGACCAAAAGATGGTCTCTCCAAAAGATGCAGCCCAAAGCACCCTCTTGGAATGGAAGTAGCCCTGAGCAGTTTCCTGAATCTTCATCTTGACCTTCCAGCTTCCAGAACTGTGTTCTGTTCGCCATGCTGCTACGTATGTAGTGCTCTGGTAGAAATCAGGAGGTCAACACCAAAGGCAGACAGCTAGGCAAGGTAAGAACAGCAATAGCAGCAATGGAAGTGTGTTGGACATTGAACGCAGAGGACGAACGCAAACCCAAAACTGGCAGAAGGGGCAGAGAGGGGAGTACAATTCTATTTACCATGTTTACTTAGCTCCAATTGCCAGAGGCGAAACAGGTCATTGTTCCTCTTTCCCCTCGGGACTTAGTGTCCCAGATGCCAGAAGAAAGTGTTATTTGTTTGAACCAAGATCACCCTTTAACCTGCCCCTTAGGTGGCCCTGTGTAGAGGTCACTCATCAGCCCACATGTCTTGGCTAGGTCTCTGGTAGCTGTCCTGGTGAATAGCTAATTTGCTGATGGCTCAGATCTGTGAGAGCAGCCAGAGAAATCAGTCCTATTAATTATGAAACAGCGTAGATGAACGAGATAGAAGATGCTAATAACAGACTGTGTGTTGTGAAAGGACTGTGAACCTTATTCTGTCTGACGCACAGTCAATAAAGGCTCATCAACAGTGGGTCCTAGGTTATCAGCCAGAGCTTCATCCTGAGCCAGTCCCGTGAAGTAGGAGAATATGATTTTCATCCTTCAGCTTGTCTCAGAAGCACTTGGGAGGCAGAGGCAGGTGGACCTATGTGAGTTTGGGGCCAGCCTGGTCTACAAAGTGAGTTCCAGGCCAGCCAGGGCAGTTACAAAGAGAAATCCTGTCTTGAAAAAACAAACAAATGTCAAAACAGTCAAAGTTCCACATTATACATTCACCACTGACTGACTCAGGTTTCTGAGGTAAGTGGAATCGGCTTTATTATCTTTCTCTCTATACACTATCGTAAGGGTGAGTTGCAGCATATCTGAATCAGAGAGGATGGACACCAGGACTCACTGAGTCACACAAGTCAATCTAATAAATCCCCTTTACAATACTCTTCCTATCCATTCTGTTTCCAGAAGATGCTGACAGATGTCAATGCAAAAAGTCGTCAGGAAGGGAATTTAGATTGATGAAAACAAACTGATTCAGATTGCTAGAGCAAAAAGAAAAACTATTAGAGGTCTCTTGATACAAGATCTCCACAGATAAAACAGCTTTTCTTATGGCTGAACAAGTTTCATTTCAACTTCACACTTTGCTTTTAAATCTCAAACGTAAGTTCATAATAAGACTGAATCCCTGAAGAGTGATTCACAGCATCCCGACACACAGCCCTAGGGTGGAGGAGTCACATCATCCCGGCACACACCTCCAGATTGGAGGAGTCACACCATCCCAGAGCACACAGCTCTAGACTGTGATCAGCCTAGAAGTAAAATACAGAACAATGGAGAGTTGGAATGAAGAGTGGGTTGTCTGTTGCTCCCTTATCTGCCTTTCATCTCAGCTTGGATGACCCGGTAAAGTTTTATCTGCTGTCTGTTCTTTAACCCTCTGGTGCTCGTCCACCTGTCTCAGTCCTAGTCCTGGCATCTGTTCTCCCTGATTCAGATATGCAGTTCACTCTTGAGAAGCTAAAGCTCCAGCCCACTATCTCAGGGCGCTGAGCTAGGTCAGACCCTAGCAAGAAGGTGCTTAGTATTCCTGAGCGTTATAAAGCAACAGGGATGTAAAGGGCTCTTTGGGAAGACTTCTGAATACTGAAGGTGCTCCAAGAATCCTTCAGGCCCTTGTGTTGGGGAATGTTATTTCAAGGTGTGTGACTTTTGTTTATGTTGCATTTGTTTAACTCTGTGAAGTTGTGATTCTTTGCCTGTCTAAAATACCTGGTGGTCCTAATAAAGAGCTGAATGGCCAATAGTGAGGAAGGAGCAAGGATAGGAGGGGCTGGCAGGCAGAGAGTATAAATAGAAGGAACGACGACAAGAAGGCACAACAAGAGAATGAGGGAAGGAGGGTGGCAGGGCCCAGCCGTGCAGCCACACGGCCAGTCACTGAGTAAGAGTGAAAGGAAGATTTACAGAAGAGGAAAAAGCCCCGAGGCAAAAGGTAGTTGAGAATAATTTAAGAGAACCTGGAAAAAACAAGTCAAGCTAAGGCTGGGCATTCATAACTAAGAATAAGCCTCCGTGTGTGATTTATTTGGGAGCTGGTAATGGGCACCCCCAAAAGCCGGAAGAATAAAACATCACAACAGCACCCTTGTATCAGATTGAGACTGTGGAGGCACTGAGCCTTGTGTTAGGAATGGCCGGTTATGATTCTCAGCATTTCTAAAGTGCTGGCAGTCACTATCAGATCTCCTTATAGCTGGGCTTTTGAGAGAAGGTGCCAGCCATTCTAGGAAGGTTTTTCCCAGAAATATCCTCATAAACCCATCCAGAGGCATGTCTCATAGTTGACCCCTGATCTAATCAAGTTAACAAACAAGACAGATCATCACAAAATATATATAATGTGGCATACACAAATTATACCTGATTTTTACATGTGGGAGTTATCATTCATTCCTTTGAACTCCTCACAGAATTTTATGGTAACTCATAGAGCTTGGCACTTCTTTGTTGGGTCTTCTTTATAGGTGGAACATCTTCAATAAACTACTAATACTTCTTCAATATAGGGAAAATGTCTCAGTAACATTTGTGTCAAATATAAGCTGGTATCTTGAAAATACTGCTTTGAGTGTTCACTAAATGCTTGCTGAACATGTTAAAATACGTTAAAATGTATAGCATTCATTGAAGAATTTATTCGTGGACTAGGTGACATCTGAGAACAATGAGAAGACAAGTTGAAAGCCATTGAAGCAAGTGGAGATGTTTGAGTGGGATAGAGCAAGACATCTTAATTTATTTTCTTGCCTTTGGGCTAGTGGTCTATAGTTAACTGCCTATATAACCTGTACAATTGAAAGAAGACAAAACTATCAAAGTTCCAGAGGCTTCTGGGCGTTGAACTCTGCAATCCAGGGTCATTGCACTGTTTTACAACACCTTGTAGTTTAAGAATGGTCCCTGCTTTTCTCCACAGCCTCATCACCCACTGCCTCCCTCACTGTGCTCCATTTATTCTGCCCCCACCAGTATCTTTTGGTCATTTACTTGTTCTCCTCCCTTTCACGCTAAGCCATGAATGTTCAACCTTCTCACATTGTGATCTGATGTCATCTGCAAACACGTTGGGCTGAAATGTGTGTGGGCCAGAGGTAAGCCGTTGCTGTGCCTGCAATACTTTTTTTTTTCAGGTTCTTTTAGCTGCTTGTTTTTATGTCAAATCAAATACAAAAGCTGCAGGTGGTGCCTTGCCTAACCCCCCAAAGAAAGAGCAGAATGCTCAATGTGGCTGGACAAGGGTGGGCAGCAGGGAGAAGAGAAAAATGGGACCTTGGAAGCCGTTAAAATAGGACCAGGTGGGGTCTTTCAGCAATGGCAAAGATTTCAGCTTGGGTCTGGATGAGGAGGGAGGCCATGGCAGGGATTTGAGCCAAAGAATAAACTGCTGGGCTCTCGTTATACTGACTTACTTTGTTACACTAGAAACGCACTACTGAGATTTGCTTGGAGACCCACAGGGCTAGGTGAATAGCTCAGTCGAGAGCTGCTGGTATCGTAGACCATAGGGACAGCGTTCTAAGATGACTTGTATCAGACTGTCCAGTCTTTCCTCTACCTTTTCCATAGGAATGGATTTATATTCAGGCGCTCCATTTTGCAGAATCCCTTCGTAACGGGAATATGGGATCAGAGAAGTTAGATATTCCTGTCGTGCTAAAAACTTCCAACAGTGGTAAGCCAGCGTTCTCCAGACTCTGTCTGCTCTCTGTCTTCCACGAAAGTCAGTTTTGATCCTGCAAATGAGGGTAGTACACTATGAGATGGTGAGGGTCCTGGGGTTCTCGATGATCAGGTAGGCCAGAATTCTTGCCAACCTGATTAGTTTATCCCATGTTTTAACTTGAGAAATGAGCCACTGAGCCATTACTGATGCTCCTTACCAGCATCTTTGCTTGTACATTTATCATGGTATTTAAACCATTTAAACCTCATTTTATACTTAAACTTAAAATACTACCAACTCCTTCCTTTTAAGGCTATGGTATCGTCCATGAGCTGCTATGAAGGACATTACTGAAATGATTATTTAATGAATGCATCCTAACTGCGTCAAAGATGATTGTATCTTTGGTTTGGAGAAGAGGTGACTGCTACTGAAGCAGTAGTTGCTACGCTGGTAGACAGACCTATCAAGGGAGAACCCTGATTAGAGAGCTCTCTAATCAGTCTCTCCCTCCCCCATTATCCACCCTATCCAGGGTGGAGGTTCCTCAAAAAGCTGAAAATAAATCTAAGATACAGCGAACCACACTGAAGGATATATCAAAAGGGCTCTCTTTTTCCACTTGCTCTTCCATGCTCATTGCCACCCTGTTCACAGTAACCAGGAAACAGACACTGCCCATCAGCTGATGAATGGATAATGTAAGTGTGGTACACGAGACAATGGACTATTATTCCCTAAGTCACAACGGGTCAGATACTCTTTGTTATCAAAGGTGATGAGTCTTGTCCTGTGTCACCTTCAGAGTTAATTCATCGCAGCTCTAGAAACAGTGTTTGTTATTCTCTCTCCTTTGGCTTGTGTGAGAAAATAGACCCTCCCTCCAGTCTGCCTGGGATACTGCGCCACAGTGTGCAACCAGGACCCTTGTTGAGCCCACACTTGAGTCTCTGGAGCTGTATGAAGGACATGTTGGGTCAGTACAGGGTACAGTGTGTGCTCCCAATCCTGACCTGCTGTGGCCTGGAGTTTCTGTGTAGTAAAGCTCCTGGGCTTCTTGGAAGAGAGAAAACTGGAACATGTCATGGCTGCTGGCTCCAAGCCTAAGTGACTCATCTGGGAGTCAGGCATCGTGCTGGGTTGCTGTGCCCAGACTTCTAGGTCACTCACTGAGTGCGTTGTCATGGAACTGATACATGCACTTCCTTTTATCTAGAACGTTCTTTTTTCTTCCTCTTGCCTATAGGCTTTGACTTCCCTGGAACACAGTCCCTGTTTGGGCAGAGATTAATGAGAATCTTTATTATACATTAGGTTTTCAACATTTCAGACACAATGTTTACCACAGTGTAAAATTTAGCACTGGTGATTTTCTTTTTCTTTTTTTTTTAAAAAATAATCTCACCACTCTTACTGCTGGAAGTTCCAGAAAACCTTACTGGGGTTGCTTTCTAGAGTTCCTCAATGTTCAAGAAGTCAGCACAGCAACTGGATCCCATGACTACTGAAACATGTTGGGTCTATCCATGGAGAGATGTGTGACAGAGCACACCAGAGTGGTGAGGACAGCAAGGCAGATGTAAACGCATGCAGGCAAGACAGAACCAAGTTTTGCCTGGAGTGCTGAAATGCTCATGTGGAGTTTGTCTTTCTTTTCTCAAAGAGACTGTAGAAATTCTCAGACGGGACCACACTGACAGCGCTGAAGATAAGAGGAGGACTATCCCAGGAAGTTACCCAGAATTTTGTCTCTTGTCCGCAGAAGTGAGGGCTGAGGGAAGGCGTGGAGGACAGAGGGCATTTTCTTAGTCTTGTCCCTGTTGGGCAACAGGAGGGAACAGGCTGCATGAAGTATATGGTGAGTGCCTCGAATTTCAGAGAATTTTAGGTCCTCAAGAAGAATGTGAAAGAAACCTCAGATATCAGGCGGAGGGTGAAGTGCACTCGTGACTTCACGTGTACAGCGTCAGTCACCACTGTTCTTTTCATCCTGGGCTTTATGTGCTATCTGTGTATTTCTTCATTATGACGTCGAGCATGGAAACCTGTGTTAACAAATGATGTCTTTTGACTTAGTTATTGATACCAATGGCTAAGCATCTCCTCGTCCCCACCAAAAGTGGCCTTTCAGGGTTGAATGAAGCTATTGTTATAACTGATCTCTTTCATATGACTTCTTCATCAATCCATCATGAGTTACAACAGGTCTATTTCTTAATTCCTTTGGATCCAAAATTTGGTAGAAACTTTACCGGAGTGTTTTGTTTCGACTCTGTATTTTTCATTTAGGCTTTTACTCTTGAACAAAGTCTGCATTAGAATCCACAGATATACCTTAAGTGGAAAAAGATCATTCCACATAAATGATAAAGTAATATTTCAAAGTTCAGGTGCAAGTTCATTACTGAATTCTGCAGGGAACTGATTAAACTAACCGACAATACCATTCTTTCATGATCAGTTTGCATGAACAGCTATAGATAGTGCTCTGCCCTCAAGGCTGCAAGCAAAAGCCTATCTTAAAGAAAGGGACTGCTGTTCTTTGTGAATAGAATTTGTTCTTTGTGAATTACGTAGTGGCTAAAAGGTGGAAGAAAAATATCCCACGCCTTACCATTTGGAAACAGTTACTGGAAACAGTGGTGATTGGTTTTATCTGAGCTAAGGTCTTCAGTCTATTTAACCACATGCTCACGAGCAATCCTCTAGGTGTACTTGATTCCACCACATGAGAGCAGCTTGGGATCTCTAAGGGCTCAACACCTGTTTCACTTGGGGGTAAGAGAAGGAGGATTTGGGCCCCTTAATTAGTCCTCTCGCTCCTGGAGGACACGAAGGAACTCTGCTGTTACAAAGACACGGGAGCCACCAAGGCATTGCACCAGGAACTTGCCCACAGCAGCAGACTCTGAGTTGGGGAGGAACTGCCTCCCTCCCAGGCCGCACTCCCGGGTGCATCCAGACACCAGGCATCTTTCCCTAGGCAGAAGGTACTGACGATCTCAAGAATGTCCACTTCCCCAAGTGCTCAAAGAATCACCGAGGAAGCAATAATTTTGCTTCTTATATCCATCTCTATTGCTAAATTAATTAACAAGGAGTATGTACTAATTTTCTTCAATAAGAAAAACAAAACCAAAAACCAACAAATATTGAAAAGCAATAGAAAAGAGGGCCAATAGCCTTCCCCGTGAACGGTTGCTTCCTGCAGAGTGGATTCCACACCGTTGACATGTCTTTTCTCATGTTACTCCCAAACCATCCAATGAACTTCCTCCATTTCCTTTTCCTGTTTGTCTGGGACTGTCTTTGGTAGAACAATGCTCTTGACCTGTTTCTAGATTCCTTTTGGGATCTGTAATCGGTTTGGTATGCCATTGCTGGTAATGGCCTCAATCAGTTTTTTTGTTTTGTTTTGTTTTGTTTTGTTTTTGTTTTTGGTGAGGCAGTGTTTCTCTGTGTAACAGCCCTGGCTGTCCTGGAACTCACTCTGTAAATCAGGCTGGCCTCGAAATCACAGAGGCCCACCTGCCTCTACCTCACAAGTGTTAGGATTAAAAACATGCAACATGCCTGGCCAGGATCAGTTTCCTAAGTTGTGCTTGTTTTCTCTCTGTCTTTGTCTCTGTCTCTCTCTCTCTCTTCCTTCCTTCCCTTCTTCTTTCCTTTCTTCTTTTTTTCCTCCATTCCTCCCTCTGTCCTTCTCTCTCTCCCTCTCTCTTTCTTTCCTGTCCCCTTCCTTTCCTTCAGTTCTTCCTTCCTTCTTTCCTTTTTTTTCTTTCCCTTTGTCTGCCAAATGCTTCTAATCTTTACTCCACAGTATAGCAATCTTTTTCTTCTATCTTGTTAACTAATGACTTGAAAATTTGGGGTGTTTTAGCTGTTCTTATGTAGTGAATGACTTTTACATTTTATTCAGCAATAACATGTTATTTTTTGCCAGTCTATTTGATAAATGATGGGTATGCAGTGATGACGACAATCTTGACACAGTACCAGTGAGTCCCAAAGCTCCACAAATGATCTGCCTAAATTTCTTCATCCACAAAATAACAATGGTATCTTCTACACAGGACCGTTATAAGGATTAAATGAAACAGGTACAGAAAGTAACAGTGCCATAAAGGTTCATTATAGCAGTGTTAATTTTTGACCTTCATTTATGACAACTTGGGTGCCTACTGTGAGGAAAAACTCTGGAGTATCAGTGTCTTTTTTTTTTTTGCTATTCTTTTTTTATTTTTTAAAAAGATTTATTTATTTGCTATGTATACAGTGGTCTGTCTGCATGTATGCCTGCAGGCCAGAAGAGGGCACCAAATCTCATTACAGATGGTTGTGAGCCAACATGTGGTTGCTGGGAATTGAACTCAAGATCTCTGGAAGAGCAGTCAGTGCTCTTAACCTCTGAGTCATCTCTCCAGTCCTGAGTATCAGTGTCTTAAAGTTTCAACTCACTGAACAAAATTGTCTATATTCTGTCAATCATATTTTAATAAAACGCTGATTGGCCAGACAGACAATATAGGCGGAAAAACCAGACAGAAAGTAGAGATGATACAATGAGAACAGGAGAATTCTGGAAAGCAGGGAGGTTCCTCTGCTATTCCTGTGCAGACCACCGAAGAGGCAACATGTAAGCTGTCACACTGAGAAAGGTACTGAGCCCGTATGGCTAACATAGATCAAAATAATGGGTTAAGATAAGTCATAAAAACTAATAAGTAGCCTGATCTAATGGGCCAATCAGTTTATAATCTTAAGGAGTCCTATGTGTGATTTCTCTTTGGGGCATACCAGTTATGGGGTGCCGGGTGGGACAGATACCCCAACAAGCCGGCCCTCACACTACATCTAACCTTCAGTTACTCCATCTATTAGATGTATGATAGAATCAACTTGGCAGGATTGCTGTGAAAATTTCATTTGAAAAGCATGTTTCCACATATATACAAGCATAAGAAATCACAGTGATTTAAGTTGCAGAAAATGTATTTGTTACAAATGAGTGTCTTTGCATTTTTCAAGGAATGTGGGAAATGAAAGACTGATTTCCGCTATTTTTTGCCCTAGTGTCTTTCCACCCTCATTTTAAAAATGGAATCTATTTTCACCCTATTTTAAGAATAGGATGTGTTTTTACTGGAATTAAGTGCATAGAGTAGAGTCACTTTCAGGTTTGAGGGAGCCTGATTCAGCGTTCAGGTTCAGAAAGGGGTGTTCATGGCGACCTATCAGGGGCTCTTGGTCCATCAAACCACATTAGTCTGGAAGAAATTCACAGGTTCTCTTCCTCTGTGGAAACAAAAGAAGAACCCCTTTTCCAAAGCAACAAATCCTTAGATCCAAATTTTGAAATCAAGATACCTTCAAAATATATATGTTAGTTTAACTTGGCCGACCATATAATGAAATGTCTCTCTGTACTTAGCTCCTTCACAGTCAAAACATAAAAAGAAAACGCAGTAATATACATAATTCAGGCCCTCTGTGTATATTCCATCATTACATGGCTTATTTTTCTTAACTCTTTTTAATCTATGACTGTCTGTACTCTGTCTCTTTAAAGACTTTACCTTTTTAAAAACCATTTACTTCTTTTTATAACTGTCTATGTTCTTTTTCTTTTTTATCCCAAGCCTACATATATTTATCCAATACTATAACCCATTTAGAGGTCTTTTTTTATCTGAATCTGTCTTTATTGTGTATCTGTAATTATTTTTTGACCAGAAGTGTTTTTTTTAATGCTAAGTGGGTGTGATTAGAACCAACTCTGCAGCACTGCCTGCTTCCTCAGACCAGTCCAACACAGTGGAGGAATGTTCACTGCCTCTGAGAGCCATGCACACTGCCCCAGCTCCAGGGTTGCTGCTGGTGTATATCAACATTAAACAACTAGTAGCACACTGCTCACAAACCCCATTAAATGCCCCATAGACAGACCTCCCAAAAGAGTCACAACCAGCTCCTAAAGAAGCCACACAGCCTCCCACAGCTGAATCAGGAAAATCTCTTCTTAAAGGAGCTGCAGTGCTCCTGCTCTCTGCCAGCAAACAGAGCCCATCCAAAAGCAAAAAAAAGTGGCTAAACTTGTGTGTGTGTGTGTGTGTGTGTGTGTGTCTATGTGTGTGTCTAGAATTTTATAAGCTCTCTTAGGTTTTATGTGGATTTAACTGACACACGTTGGTACACCAATATGTAGGCAGGAGGTTGTTAGTTCATTCCTGGCTACTTAACCCCAAAATAATCACAAAGAGACCATATTATTTGCAATACTGTTTGGACAATAGCTTAAGCATGTTTCTAGCTAGCTCTTATATCCTAAACTAACCCATCTCCATTAATCTGTGCATTACAATGAGGTCATAGACTACCAGGAAAGTTTCAGTAGGCTCCAACAGAGGCATTTATCTCTGGTAGTGGCCATGTGGCTTCTCACTTACTCTGCCTACTCTCTCCTCCTCTATCTGTTTGGAATTTCTACCTTGTCCAATTCTGATAAGCCATTGGCTGAAACAGCAGCTTTATTCATTAACCAATAAAAGCAACACATATACAGAAAGACTTCCTACATCGTTCCCCATATAGAACTTGAAGACGACAAAACCAATTTTTTTCCTTGTCTTTCTGGAATGCAATCAAGATTAATGCCCAGGGGCTAGATGATAGCTCAGTGATCAAGAGCACTGCTCCTTTTCTGGAGGCTCTAGGTTCAATTCCCAGCACCCACATGGCAGCTCACAACAGTCTATAACTGCAGTTCTGGAGGATTTTATGCCCTCTTTAGGACTCCATGGTCACCAGGCACTCATGTAGGTCACCAACCTACACGTAGGCAAAAAACCAATATACAGAAAATAATAATTTTTAAATTAAAAAATATTAATGGCTTAACATGGAAATCTTCCTATCACCTTAAAGAACCTGAGTCAATACCTTAAATAAAATTAGGTAATTTATTTAATTCAGGAAAAATGCTTTCTTAAAGACTATGGAATTTTAGACTTGATGCATAAAAATGATCTAATTCCATGTTTTTCAAAGTGTCCCTCATCCTGTTCCTGCAGATTTGGGGAACTGGTTGAATCTTGGAGCATGCAGAAAGAAGTGTCATGCAGGGCTAACCAGATCGGCACGGCCACTGAGCTGAACATGCGACAGAAGAAGTGTTATACAGGGCTAACCAGATCTGCACAGTCACTGAGCTGTTGCCCATGTCCTTTGCCCACCTCCAAAGCTGTATTGCAATCATGGGATTCGTTAAATTGGCATGAAAGTAGCACAAAAGGCGTTCTTGCCTCCAGCTTTAAGCTTTTATACTGTAACAATATTATCTTTTAATGTAGGCCAAAAACAATATGCATTTCAAATCTTAATTTTTTTTCTTTTTAAAATTTATACTACTCACAACTTTTTGGTCTAAATTGTGTTAGTAAGTTGAATTGTTAAATTTCATTCTACTAACCAGTGCTAGGATATTCACTTAAGTATAAATAGATTAAAAGCAAAAGAAAATGTGAAGGAGGCAAGCGGACCCTATGAACGTGCCAGAGTTCTCGATGAGGTTACTGCTCAGCTCTGCCTTTCCTGATTATAGGACATAAGAAATGTCTTCTTTGTGTTTGGTTACTGCACAGCCGGTGTCATGACTTAGCTTATGTCGTTATGCCCAAGTTTCTGGTCCCCCAAATGAATTCACAGAGTCGGATTTATAATGCAAATTATATGAAAGTTTTAATAATATTCAAACTTAAGTTTGGACCAACACCCTTCCAGCACTCCAGCACAGTGGTTGAGGAAAGTGTGGCCGGAGCCTTGGGAGGGCAGAACTTTTAAAGAGGAAACGCCATAATCAGGGGAGTTCCTGTCCAGTTGTCTTGGGACTGGGTAAGGAGTGCATAGGATAAGGTAGTTTCTGAACTCATTGATCTGTTTTTGGGTATGAAAACCTATCAAAGAGCCATTAATAACTGACAAGGTATCTCCAAGGACAGGAAGCCTCCCAAGAATGTTTGGACCTCACTAAATTTTATAGCCCTGCTCCCTACCTAAATTGACCATTTTTAGGGTATCTACTCGAATTTCTGCTGTGGCAGCATGTTTCTGGAGCTGAGATCGCCCACCCCCAACTCATTATATGGCCTAACATGAAGCCCCTGGGATTTGCAAAATGGGGTGTGCAAAGTCAGGTTCTCACAATTTCATGCTCAGAATTTTTCTATTTTAAAAAGGAAACAATACTGGTGTGGACAGTGGTCCCCTCGCTGCACACTGGACATCAGATAGCCTTCGAGACCCACCGTCTACCTCCTGTTTACCCAGAGTCCTGTGCGACTGCTCACAGCTTTGTTCACTGAGCCACATGTGTGTGTCCAGTAGAGACCAAAGTCACTTCTGTCCAAAGACAAAGTCTCAGATCAGACTGCCAGGCCTTGGATACCACTTCTGTCCTTGACTAGCGATTGTGACCTCTGTTCACTATGAAGGTCAATTCTGCTTAATTTGTTGTGATAAGGATAAACAAACACAAAGGTATATGTGAAGCAACAGGAAGAGCGTAAGCAGTGTAAGAATTTGTAAGGGTTAAGTGAATCATGCATAAGCATGCACCATGGCATACTGAAGGAGTATATCAGTGTCCTATTTATATTCGTTTCCAGGGACTTCCATAACAAATTACCACAAACTTGGTAGTTTATAGACAACAGGGATTTAACTGTGATCATCCTGGAAGCTAGAGTGTCCATGTCAGTATCATTAGGCCAAAAGAAGTAAGTGTGCCAGCAGGGCATCATCACTTCAGCAGCTTCTGGCTGCAGCCAGCACTCGTTGGTTTGGGATGGCACCATGCTGACTTGTCTCCATTTCACCTTTACCTTCTTCTTCTCTATGTGTGATATGGTTTCAATGTGATTCGCTCTCCTGGACTCACAAGGAGTTTAATTCCTAAGCCATATGCTGGTAGAGCTAAGATAGGGGCAACTTAGACCATATCTCAGTTAGGTCTTCTTTTGCTAGGGGAAAAAAAAAACACGAGCAAAAGCAACTTGGGGAAGAACAGCTTTATTTAACTTACAGGTCACAGTCCATAATCTAGGGAAACAAAGTCAAGAGCTTAAGGCAGGATTTTAGAAGCAAGAACTGAAGCAGAGGCCATGGAAGTTACACTGTTTCCTGACTTGTTCTCCATGGCTTGCTCAGTTGGTTTTTGTTGTTGTTGTTTTGGTTTTGGTTTGGTTTTGGAGACAAGGTCTCACTATTTAGTCTTAGATTGTCTGACCTGGAACTCTTTATGTAGACCAGACTGGCCTTAAACTCATAGAGGTTCGCCTGCCTCTGCTTCCCAAGTGTTAGTATTAAAGGGATGTGCCACCATGCATAGCTTCTGTTTGATCCCAGTGCTACATTTCCTTGATAACGCCACTCATGGTGGGCTGGACCTTCCAATGTCAAGCATTAATTAAGAAAATGGTCCCTCGGACTTGTTTACAGGCCAATCTGATAGAGGCATTTTCTCAGCTGAGGTTCCCTCTCCCAGGTGACTATAGCTTGTGTAAAGTCAGCAGAAAACTAATCAGCACATCCCAACTCTGATGACTGTTGGTGGGGTCTTTGAGAAGTGATTAAGAAGAAAGTCACCAAGGGGGAACCCTGTGGTTGAGTCCTGGTAGCTTTCTGGAGAGAGGGAAAGAGATCAGTCACAAAGACTGGTGAGCTTCCCAACTCTTGCCTAGTGACCTCCTCTGCCACCTCTGGATTCTTCCAGAAAGAAATCTGTCTCCAAATCCAGGCCCTCAGACATACACCTTCGGATCTGAAAGTCCAAATAAATGCTCTTTCCTTATAAAATTAACCTAATTCAAATGTTTTACTATTGTAATAAAAAAAATTAGCAGTATAGTGTGTCCTAACTCCCTCTGCTTCTCTTTTGAGGGATACTTGGGGCTGGGTTTAGGGCTCACCTGTATGGTCCAGGATAAACTCCTCATGTCAAGAGCCTGAGCTTTATTACATTTTCAAAGATCTCTTTTCTTTATATGAAGACTTCTGCAGGTCTGGGAATTAAGACTCATCATTCTTGGAAAGTATTTTCCAATCTACTACCGCATATTATCCCTTCTTCCTATAGGACTTCGTTCTCCTCCTTCGCCCTCCTCTTTCTCTTTCTCCTCCCTCCTACTTTGCTTTCTCCCCCTTCTCTTTCCTCAACTTCTCCCCAACCTTCTTTGCCTTTCTCCTCCTCTTCCAGACTGAGGCTAGAGCTCGCATCCTTCTGGAAGTCTTCCCTGACTTGAAGATTGCCCAGCTCAGTTCACTTGCTGTGTGCTCCTGCATCCTGAATATAACCGTCTTGACATTCTCTCTCTCTCTCTCTCTCTCTCTCTCTTTAATTGACTTAATTTTCCTATAGGAGTTTTACACGTACAGAGAAGTTGGTAAACACACAGAGATATGTATCCCCCAGCCTCACTGCTTTACAAGTCCTCCTATAATTAACATCTTACAAATAGCATGGTACCTATTTCACAATCACTGAGGCAATAATTGAGAGATTATTATTGATGAAAAGTTCATAGTTTATACTAGGGCTTACTTTTTTCTACTGTCCATCTCTGTGGGTTTTCACAAATACAGTGTCGATGTCTCTCACTACCGTATCATAGAGTTTCTCTGTCTTAATAGCAGCATGTGCTGGAGAGATGGTTCTGGGGTTAAGAGTTTACTGCTCTTTCAGAGGCTCAGAGGTCGGTACCCAGCACTCACTGGACAACTTAAAACTATGAGTAACTCTAGTTCCAGGGGATCTGATGTCCTCTTCTGGCCTCTGACCGCAATGCACTTACACACACTTCAAAATACAGGTAACGTCGTTAATATATGTCTTCCTCCTACTTCTCCCTCCCATCCCTTTGAACTCTTGGCACTCACCAGTCTTACTATCGCTTTGAACCTTTCAGATTGCTCCCCACCCCATTTTCTTTCTCTCTCTCTTTTTTCTTATTAACGTTTTGGGTTTGAAAATGAAATGATGGATTTCATCACAGTGTCCTCATACACATGTGACATTACACTTGTTTCCCTCACTCTTTCTCCTTCACCGTCCTCTTCAACCCCATCCTCGTTCTGGCTAGTTCCCTTCCTTCACAGTCTACATTCTACTTTGTGACATGTGTTCCTTGGTGCTTTCTGTGTCATACCTCCTGGAGGATTGCTCCCTCCCATCTTACAATCTCATTTCTAGCTCCATGTGCCATATATATATATATATATATATATATATATATATATATTGTCACAGGCACAGTTTTAAAACTAGGTTCTGCATGTGAGAGAAAACATGCTGCATTTGTGTCTCTTGAGTCTGGCTTAACAAAATTATTAAAACCCTTTGCCTGCAAATGTCATTATTTTGTTTTGCTTTGTGGCTGCAGGAAACTTCACTGTATATGTGAATCACATTCTCTATTCATCTGAGGATGGATCTCCAGGCTGGTTTCATTTTCAGTCTCCTGTGAACAGTGCAGCTGTAAAAATGGATGAGCAAACATTTCTGTGTCCTGATGACTCAAGGAGTAAGTGGTAGATCTGGGTCATGTGACAGCTTTGTAAGCATTCTAACTGAGTTGTAAAAGTGTGTAATGTGCAATGTTCTAATATGGTGTGTTCAAGAGCAGTATGGCTGGGCCATGTGATATTTCTGTTTTTAGTTTTCTGAGAAACCTTTACACAGTGGTTGCCTTGGTTTTTACTCCCTCCCGCACCAAATACGTTTCCTCTTTTTCCACATCCTCGCCAGCCCAGGCTGTCAGACTCCCTTCTTCTACATGCAGATCCAAGTCCCCTCCTCATCTTCTCAAGGCTTGATACCTTGTTTCCTTTTAGCATCTGGATGCAGCGTTGTCTGTTCTCTCACAGGCTGAAGGACATTTCCATTGCTGTTAAGTTTTGTCAGCAAAACTGCTGTAAATACCTTTGGACAATTTGTGTGTGCGTGTGTGGGAGGGAGTAGAGATAAGTTTTCGATCCATTTGAATAAATACCAAGAAATATAGTTGTGGAATCATATGGTCAGGTTATCTTTAGCTTTGTAAGGAACAGCTGAGAGGGCTTCCAAAGTGCCTGTATCAATTTTGCCTTTCCATAGACAGTGAGTCAGAGTTCTCCTTGCTCTCCATTCTTGCCAGTGGTGCTTATTGTCAATGTTTTGGCTTTAAACTGCTGAGAGAGAGAGAGAGAGAGAGAGAGAGAGAGAGAGAGAGAGAGAGAG